TGCATGCCTGCCTTGGCCTGGGGAGAAAGGCTGTAAACAATGGTGGACAGCTCCCTTTCCTGTGGATGAGGAGACAGAAGTTCAAGGGCCGTTAGACGTGCAGCTAGTGAGGAGCGAGGTTCAGCTTGAACCCAGGTTCTACTCCAGAGCTGAGAATGTTCTGCCTCTGTTTCCCCTGGGTCCAGCTCACTCTGGGTAGACAGGAGCTGTGGAGGGGCCACCGGCTCTGGACTCTGACAGGCCCGGGTATGGCCCAGGTGCCGCCATTCACAGGCTGACTGGTGCCGAACAGCTGCTTATCCAAATCAGTTTCCTCATCTGTGAAACGGGAAAATAATGCCCAACCCAGAGTTGTGGGAGGACGCAGGGAAGTAACATGGAAAACGCATCCAGAGGTGTGTGGCAGAAGCAAAGGGGGGTACTGTCATCGCTGCCTCTGAGCTCCCTGTCAGAGCCTGAAGGAGAGAAGAAAGAAACAGGGGCTCCAGCCCCAGTTCAGACCTGCTCACCTGTGCTGTGTCATAGCCCTCACACCTTCCTCGGCAACTGCCGTCTCATGACTTATTCCGAATGGGACCAGCAAAGATACATGCTTGTTAAAAATTGCTAAAAAGAGAGACCAGCAGGTGGCATCGTGGTAAAGGTACAAGACCCGTGGCTTGAAACTCACCCCGGGTGTGTGTATGTGCATGCCCAAAGTCCCAACAGGAAAATGGAGTAGGAGGGATTGTAGCACGGCCACCCCCTGGGGGATTGGAGTTCTTGCTTTCTTTCTCTCTCTGGTGAGTGCATGTGTCCTAGAGCAAAATAGCTCTCAGAAAAAAAAAAAAAAAAGAAAGCTGAAAAGCTCTGGCTCCACTGTGGTGGTGTAGGTGGTAGGACACTGCTGTGTGATGCTGGAACTGAAGGGGGAGCCCCGAGTTTGGGGCCCGTGTTGAACTGAACACACCAGTGCACCATTGGGTACCTATAATCCTGGGTGGCTGAAATCTTGCAGGGGATGGGGCAAGAAGGGGATCTCAGCGTGGCCAAACCCCTGCAAGAGTACCCCCTCCTTCTCTCTCTCTTAAAATAAGTAAACTTTAAACTTTTAAAAATTCTAAAAAGAGGGCTGGCAGGTGGCATGGTGGATGAGGGCGCTGGACTCCAAGGTGGCTGACCACGGTTCAAGTCCCAGACCTGTGGGAACTCTTTTCTACATAAATTTTATTTGATTACAGTGGAGTTACCTATTAATCAGGACTCAAGTTAGTGTTCAGGACATGGGGCCAGCCTCACAAAGCGTCTGTGGCCCCCAGAGCAGGTAATAGCGGGCCACACAGCCGGTATTCTTTGTAGCATGGGGACAACCAGTGTTTCTTTGAGCTTGGAATGACAGAAGTGATTTGTATTCAAGGGTCATAACACATTATATATTCTGAGCTTCTTAATGTTAGACCACAGCAAATCCTGGTGAGGGGTTCACGCTCTGAGATGTCCTTAGAACCATTTGCTGAGACCACCGATTCCCAGCCCTCCTCATGTGCCCTTAGAGCCCAAACAAGTAGACTGGCCAGATTCCCCTTCTCTGCTGAAGTTGGGGTTCCACATCTCTTCTTGTCGTCATGCAGCATTGAATGCATCTAAGCTGAATGGCGTGGGAGGTGACTCCACCAAGGTTGCCTTTGTCCACTCAAAGGAAACTGGACATGTGCCTTATTACCATCCCTCTTTCCAGTGGCTCCAGTGGCTCTTAAAGACTAAATTGCCCTCTGACCTTGGACTGGATCTGTCACAGAACAATGACCCGTCTCCCCTTCCCATGTGCCACCTCAGGCTGCATTTCATGGATACTCTCAGACATGTGGTCAAACCCAAAATTCTCCCACTTTCAGGGATCTTCTCAGACCAAAGATCTAATTCCTGAGGTCAGACTTCACATGTAAAGCAGGGTCCTAGCGTTAGAGCTGCCTTCCCGTTACAGAGAACTCCGTAGACGGGCACGAAGGCACAGCTTCCCGGGGAGCAGTAACCCAGGCAGTGGGCATAGGCTGGCATAGTCTTTTCTCCCTACAGGTTTCAGAGAGTTGAGGGAGCACCTAGCCCAGGTCCAGGCATAATTAGGGGCCCTGTAAAAATATGAATGAAGAGGCCAGCAGGTGGCATGGTGACTAAAGGGCTGGACAGTGGTTTGAGTCCTGGACCCGGCAGCTTAAACGTCAAGCATGCGTGCGTGCGTTTGGGCCCAAAATCCCATGAGGAGAATGGAGGAGAAGGACTTGCAGCATTGCAGCATGGCCATCTCCCCAGGGCATTTCTCACTTTCCCTCTCATTGTCTCTCTCTGTCTCTCCAGCAAGCACAAGCAGCTTATGACCAAAAAAAAAAAAAAAGAAAGAAAGAAAGAAAAGAAAAGAAATGAAAACTGAATAGCCAACTGCCCCATGGTAACCTATCATCCATTTGGTGCCTCTCTAGATCAACAGAATTTCTAGCAATAAATTTGAGTTGTGACATTCATGAATTGAAAAGGTAGTGAACGAATTGGAGCTATGAACTTTACTTTTAACTTTTCCCTTGAGTTCCTTGCCAGCCCTCAAGCAAGTCTATCTCAGTTTTTCTATCTAGGAAGTCAGGAGAAGAGATCTGTAGAAGGACATAAAAAAATAAAAAACAGAGAGGAAATAAAAGAACATTGAAATGCTGATTGCGAAGGTGCTCATTTTTCTACCCTGCAGCCTGCTCTATTCAAACCTGAAAGGAAGAAAGTGAGAATATTTGCATTCATTTGCATGCCCACAGAGAGGCTCCTCTGGAATCTCATGGTTCATTTTTCTAAATCAGTGTGGCTTCAAGCCCCAGGGGAGCGAGGACACAAAATACTGCAACAGAACCACGTCATCCTAGGCAGCGTAACCTCGATCATGCGGGAATGGCTGGTGACTGCCTTCAGGATGAAGTATTGCTCATCGAGAACACTGACTAAGCCTGGAGAGACCTTGTGCTCCAGTCCCTTTCTGCACGTCACACCAGTTGTGACGCCAAGTAGCCCTCTGGGATCCAGGATCCTGACTGGTGGAATTCTGACCCAGACTGCCCTGCGGCTAGCACGGGTTGGCTCTGAGGATCCAAAGAGCTAAACATGCAAATCAGTTTTGGAAACTGTCCATGTAAGGCCAGGTGTCACAACGTTGTCACATCCTTTTCTCACCAGGAAAAATATTAGGACCCCTCTCCAAGGTCACTGAGCGTTCCACTAGCTCCAAACCCCCACTCCCTCTCTAGCTTAAGAGGCAGGAGAGCTCAGTAGCCAGTCCTCTGGCTCTGGAGTGAGTCGTTTGGGTTCCTAGCCCCAGCTTTGTTGGATGCGGTGAGTTGACTGATTTCGCCATGCTCCCACAGCCTCGTCTAGGCATCATGGGTGAAGACGGTGCTACTCCCTCACGGGCTGTAGTGAGATGAACTGTGGCATGTGAATATGCCCAAGGGGCTAAAAATAGTACCTGGTTTGCAGTAAAATATCCCACAAATTTCCCAAATATTTCAGGCAGTCTAAAATGTTTAAAAGGGGCTGGCAGGTGGCATGGTGGTTGGGGTGCTAGATTCCCACATGGCTGACTGTGGTTTGAGTCCCAGACCTGTGGCTTGCTTTCTCACTTTCTCTCTGTCTCTCCTTTTCTGGTGAAAGTTTAAAAATAATAATGAAATTAAATCATTCTAAAGAAAATCGTATAAAGTTTAAAATGTTTAAAGAGCAATATAATGTTTAAAGGATACTGTAAAAGCATGACCACTCTCCATCATAAGCTAGAAAACATTGTCATTACAGTTGAAGACCCTCTATACCCTACCCAATGACAGTCCCTCCGTCCCCTAGAGATAACCATGCTCCTAAATTTGATATATTTAGTCTTGTGTTGCTTAACAACAGGGATACTGGGCCAGCAGATGGCATAGCAGTTACATCACTTGACTTCCACATGACCAATTAAGGTTCGAATCCTGGCCCCAGTGGCTTGAAACTCACACTGGGCACGTGCGCGCGCACGTGTGTGTGTGTGTGTATACCCAAGATCCCAAGAGGAGAATGGAGAAGAGATTGCAGCGTGGCCATCTCCCTGGGGGGAGGGGTGATTTCTCATTGATTTTTCATTTTCCCTCTTGCTGTCTCTCTCTCTCTCTCTTCAGCAAGCGCACACACCCTAAGGTGAACACCTCTAAAAAATTGGGGGTACTTTTGCCAGTGTGCAAACATTATAGAGCATATGTACACAGACTTGCATGTTATAGCCTACTGCACACCCAGGCTATACGGCATAGCCTTTGATAATCGAGTAAGACCACTGTCACGTATGCAGTCCCTGTTAACTGGGACGGTATGCTATGCATAACTCTTGTCATTTCCATGCTTTTCTTTATGTTCTTACTTCATCTGAATGCATCTCTAAGCAATGAGAATGACCTGGAAATATCTGGAAGCCAGGACAACGAGCACCTCTTTCAGAAGGCCTTAGACAACAGTAGCAACCAGCCTGTTTTGCAAGCAGAGCTCATTGGCCACCTTGCTTATCTGTGTCCTGCCTATCTTCCTGAGCTGAGAAGATGCTCATATTTCCCTATGGACTGACTGATGGTCCAAGACATTTTCTTTTTTCTTTTTTTAGATTTTTGTTATAGGGCATAGATGCTCCCTGGAGAGTTTGACAGAGACAGTGAGAGGGAAAGTGAGACTCACTCCTAAGAGGGGATGGCCACATGGCAGTTCCTTTTCCTCCATTCTTCTCATGGGATCTTGGGCATGCGCACACACGCAGCGTGATTTTTGAAGCTACCAGGTCCAGGACTCGAACTGCAGTCAACCATGTGGGAGTCTAACACTTTAACCACCATGTCACCTGTTGGCTTTGATGATCCAAGACATCAGTCAAAACTATTAATAGGTCTGTGCCTGTCAGGGGCTGTGGACTTGCAGCCTCCACCCCAGCTTTTTGCTGACCACCCCCCCACCCCCGTCTCTTCCAGATGGAGATGCGGCTGCAGGACCAGCAGCTGGCCAGACAGCTCATGCGCCTGCGTGGGGATATCAACAAGCTGAAGATAGAGCAGACCTGCCGCCTCCACCGGAGGATGCTCAATGACGCCACCTACGAGCTGGAGGAGCGGGACGAGCTGTCCGACCTCTTCTGCGACTCCCCCCTGGCCTCCTCCTTCAGCCTGTCCACGCCACTCAAGCTCATTGGTGTCACCAAGATGAACATCAATTCCCGGAGGTTCTCTCTCTGCTGAGAAGCCCTCAGAGGGGGCCAACAAACCAGAACAGAGGCTTGTACAGGCAGTGTGGGGAGGGGACTGAGACCAAGTTACCCGGTGGGTCCCCCCAAAGGCAGGGCTTCCTGTGACAGGTGAGTTGTAGGTCCCCAGGACTTGTTGCAAGGTGCTCTCTCAGGGGCCCCAGCTGTGGATCCCAGTGTCTCCATGACTGGCTCTTACTTAATGCCCAAAGAGCTCTGCAGAAGGGCCACTGCAGCCGGAGTTTAAATCAGAACTGGGTTCCCAGCCTGAACCCAGTGGCCCACATTCCTGTTTCCTGGAACCACTGGTGCTATGAAGCTATGAACTGGGATCCCAAAGCCCCCCCACCACCACCACCACAAGTCATTTCCGTCGCAGAAGGCTCTCCCCCAGGGCTCTGGGGATTAGAGACGTTAGATTACCGAGTACTGGGTTGAATTACCTTAAGTAGGTGACTCTGAGTCACCAGAAAAAGGAAAACCAAAAGGAATGACCAAGTGGCACTCAGGGCTGCAGGCTCCGCACCTGGCAGCCAGCACTCCTGGTGAGCGTTGCACTACCAGCCCTCGACCTTGGCACTACGAGGCCACGGCTCCTGCGTGTGCCAGGACGTGATGGCCGCACGCTAGCATTGTGTGGGTGGGACAGAGATACCCCTGTTTCCACTCCTCCCCCCTGCCACATGCGCCAATCACAACCTCCAAAGAACCCCTTCGCTGCCACCCCACAATTCCAGAGGGCGTGCCTGGGAGACCAGTGGCCGGTCATGAGTGGAGTTTCCATAACTGATCATCCTGGTGGTGGAGGGAGAGCAGAGGCCTCCGGTGCATTCTGAGGGTGTCATCTCTGTCACCTCATTGGCCTCCCCAGAAAGACAATCTAGGGAGCCCAGAAGCCTGTCCTGAGCCACCCCTGACATCTGTGCCTGACCTAAACAACTACTTTCAGTGGACCGAGACTGTTACTAATGTGTTACTAACTTGTTAAGAACTTTGATTTCTGTCCAGGTGGGAACGGTTGAGTAGGTCACGTACAGAGTTTCCGATCTGATTTTAGAGTTGAGGATCAGCAAGTCCAGAGCACAGCAGGTTCGGGAAGTTAACCTAGGGAAGTTAACCAAGCATAACACCCCAGGGCAGGGATTCCTCTGCAGGGGCCATCCTAATTTAGAGGCTTTTTAAATCTTTAATGTCATCTAGTGGAGGCCTGTCATTTAAGGAGTAGAGTGAAGCCTGGGGACGAGAATGACTTTCCTCGGGTTACATGCTATTAGTGGCTATAGAATATTGATGTGTGAAATCATTATCCATGCCTAGAACTCATATCCGTACCTCAAACCCCAAAGGCGATCCTAATGCTTTGCCAAAACCACAAGCTGCCAACCCCTCTCCTCTCACCTTAGCTGGGAACCGAACCTCCCACTTTGCAATTCAGAATATGTAGGTGGAACACAGTCCCCGTTTGGATGGTAGATCCACAAAGCACTGTTACCAGTCACCATTTGGTAGTCTCAGTATGGAGTCCTGCCCCAACATCTGTGATTCTACTTCCTGTGTATCTCAGTGGGGTTCGTGTGACACCCACATGACCCACGTGGGGAGGAGGTGGTTTGGGATGTGTCAGCTGAGAACTGGAAGATGCAAGCAAATCGTCCTTAGTAGACAGAGGGGACTCGGTCCCTTCCTTGTGCTTTGAGAGCTGGAGGGTTTGTGTATCCTGCAAAGAAGGTAGGATGAGTAAGTGAAGAGGAGCCGTGCGCCCTACTTTGTGCAGGGACGTCCAAGCCCCAGGGGACTCGTCCACCACCACCCTCCTCAGAGGCCAGGCACGAGCACTGCCAAGCCCTGAAGAGGCATTTCTGACCCACCAGCCTCTTCCAGACGAGATCTTGAGGTCAGAGGCCATCCATCACCCTGGTGCACACACACCCACCCTCTCACACTGAGAGAACATGACCATAAACACCCTCGAACTCATGCAGGAAAGCCCATCCCATATTTTGAAAACTTGCCGAACGGTGGAAAGCAGTCAGGACAGTAACTGAGAAAAAACGGACCCAGTGAAAGTGGAACAGTTTAGTGGAATGTAACAGTTTAGTCGATCTATTTGAATTCGTTGAATGCAGTTTCTCGGTGCACCCAGCGCTTTCTTCCTGTCTGTGTTCTCTGAGATGCGCTTTCATGGATAGGTGTGTCTCAGCTTAGATGTCTCAGCTCTTTTGCTCGGTTCTTCCCAAGTGAATTTTATTTTAGGATAAGGAGGGGAAAGAGAAGTGGGGACGAGAGGAGAGAGGCGGAGGGGAATAGTCAGCCGTGTTTTCTTCCACGTAGTCCATGTCTCTGTTAGCACCTTACTTCGCAGTGAACCCAACCAGCCAAGTTATCTCCACTTTGTGAAGTCTCTGCCGTGTGTGAGTCAAGAGATGTCTATGGTCAGCAGTGATGTTGGGCTAATCTCTGTCCTCAGCTCCCTGGGGCAACTTGCTGGTTTACCACGTGTGTATAATACTGTTTGCAGTTTTCCTCATTATCCATCTCTCCCTCATTCCCAAGGGTCCCCGCTGCAAAACACAGTCTCCTCTGATGCTGCAGCGTGTGGCAAGGTCAGATGCCTTCATGGGCTCAGTAGCAATCACAGAGGCCTGGGGGCCTGGGCAGGCTTGACCGTGGCCTAACCTAGCCTAATACCGACTCCCTGTAGCAATACCAAGTGCTATTACATTATCGATGGACAACTTACAACTTTATTTTTTATGATTATTTGTTTCTATATTACTGTTAGAAAAAGCAAAATAAAAATATTTCAAAAGAAGATATCCATATAAAGAAGAGAAATTCAGTTCTTTCTGTTTGGTTTCTAGCCTGCCCTTGTTCTAGCACACATAACTGAAAGAAAGAACGGATGGATGGATGGGTGGATGGATGGATGGATGGGTGATTCGAACAAACAGATGAAGGTGTGGAAGGGTGGAAAAGATTCACAAAAAGTCCTCTTCTTCCCTTAATGTGCCTTTCCTTTGGTGGTGGTTAACTATCATGAGTTCCACAGTGTGGGCTAAGTCAGGTCGAGAGACACGCCCATTATTCCTGAATTTGGCGAAGCAAGAGCCAAAGCAAATCCGTCCTCCTCCCAGGGTTCGTTTCCAAAGGTGATAAATATTATCACGCTCTATATTTACCCTCTGCATCCTGATATCTGTCTGTAATTTTGAAATTTTTGATGTTAACCAACATCACTGGGCCCCTCACCACCTCCCACATTTCCCAGCCTCTAGCAATCCTTCAACTCTATTTCCGTGAGGTCATCCTTTTCCATTTCCTTATTGTTTAAAGCTAAATATCAGCTGGACATCTGAGTGGAAAGTGTTACACATAGAGTCTGAAGTTCAGGGGAAAGTCCAACATTAGAAACATAAATTTGGGGACCAGCAGATGGCATAATGGTTACATCTCAAGACTCACATAGGCAACTGCTGTTCAAGTCCCAGACCGGGTGGCTTAAACTCATGCCAGGTACCATGTGAGTGCATGCCCAAAATCCCAAGAGGAGAATGGAGGAGAAGGGATTGCGGTGTGGCCATCCCCCCGCAGGGGATGATTTCTTGCTTTCTGTCTCTCTGTTTATCTCTGTCTCTCAGGTGAGCACAAGCAACCTATAGCTATATGTCTTTAATTTGCTACAGGGTACATATGTTTGCCAGCTTCTTCTCCATCCTCCTCTTGGGATTTTGGGCATACGCACACATATGCCTGGTGTGTTTTTCAAGCCATGAGGTCCAGGACTCGAGTCATACAGTCAGCCATGTAGGATCCAGCTGCCTTAACCATCGAGCTGCTGCCTGGCCCAGAAGTTTGGATCCTGTTAAAGCACTACACCTGGATGAAACCATCTAGGAAGGAAGTGTAGGTTTAGAAAAGGACCAGATACTCATACAGTCCTGGGGACTCCAGCACTTAGTAATTCATGGTTTTGTAATGGCTGTCAGAGAAATGGCATTGTACGCACTTGTGAGCTAAGGAATGATTTACAATTTATGTATATAATGTGGATGACCGACTCAAGCTAATTAACACAACCATCCCTCAAACGCTTAAGTTTATTCCTCCCTTCTAACTGAAACTGTGCCCTTGGACCGCCATCTCCCAGTCTCCCCGTTCCTCAGCCTCTGGTAACACCGCTCTGCTCTCTGATCTGTGCTTGAACTTTTTATTATTTATTTATTTTTCATTGCCAGAACGCTCTTGCACTCATCAGAGAAAAACATAGAGCGAGGATAAGGGGAAAAGCACTCCCCAGTGGAATATGGCCACACTGCAATCCCGTCTCAGGTTGGGGGATGCCAACTATGTTTGAGCGGTAGGGTACATGGCTGGAGGTCTCAAAGCAGTCTGGGAACTGCTGGAGTGAGAGTATTAGAGAAACTGAGACTGAGTAGAAAGTGACAACCAGAGGGCTACCCTGATAGCCTCATGGGTAAGGGAGCTGGATCCCTCATTGCTGACCACACAGTTCAAATCCCAGCCCTGGTGGCTAGAAAAACACTCCAGATGCATGTATGTGCACCCCGCCCCCCAAGTCCCAGCTGGATGGAGAAATGGAGTAAGGATTGCAGCTTGACCACACCCTATCAGGGGTGCTTTCTCCCCCTCTGTCTCTCTGTCTCTGCCTCTCTGTTTTTCTCTGGTGAACACACATGCCTTCTGGCAATAAAAAGGAAAAAATTATGGTGACTAGAGTATTTCTCTTTTGTTTTCTTTTTCTAATTTGCCAGAGGGCATATGTGCTTGCCAGAGAGGGACAGAAAGAGAGGGAGAAGAGAAAGCAGCAAGCCTCTCTCCCCTCCATGGGGTGCGGTCATGCTGCAATCCCTTCTCTGTTTCTCCCCCTTTCGGCTTGCATCCACACACGCCCAGCATGTTTCTCAAGCCACCAGGTCTGGGACTTGAGCCATGTGGTTAGCCATGTGGCATCTGGCTGTCTTTTTTTTTCTTCTTTGAGAATTATTTATTTTATTTTATTTATTATTATTACTATTATTATTTTAATTTAGACAGAGAAAGAGAGAGAAAGAGGGAAAGTGAGAGAGTAAGGTACCAGGTCCAGGACTCAAACTTGGTCGGCCATATGGGAGTTCAGTGCCTTAACCACCATTCCACTTGCCAGGCCCGACATCCGGCTGTCTCAACCACCAGGCCCCAGAGCCAGCCTGGTGACTAGAGCATTTCAAAGGTGGTGCAACTACTTCATTCAGACTCCCGGTCTGCTGTTACAGTAACTGTGCGTGACCCCAGCAAAGCGTGAGCCTAGTGGGCTGGTGACATCAGTCCAAGCTGTGGCTTCCATGGCTTCTGAAGGCCTTGTCTATTTCATTTGGAAAAGGGGCTTTGAACTCTGTTTACACACTTCCCCCTGGCTTCTCAACAAGGGCAGCAGCATTTCCCCCTTGCTCAGTCTCCACGTCAAAGCCCCAGCTGTGGTCTTGCCGGCTTGGGGAGGAAGGGCTGGTGGGAGGGCTAGGGGAGAGGTGACAGAGCTGTGGAGCTGGCCCTGCCAGCACAAGCAGGCCTGTCATGACCTGGACCCTATCGTGTGGGACCCTCTCTGCAGATGAAGGGCTCAGATGCGGCTATTTTTAACTACTCTGTTCACAGGCTCAAAGCAACCAGCTCTGGAGACAGCTAGGCGGTCTCCGAAGGAAACCGATTCAGGAAGAGAAACCTCAAAAGTGTCTGAGGGCTCTGGAAAGTGGTCCTCCACCACTCCCTGCCCGGAGATAAGTCTGCCATGAGCATTTCTCACCCTCAGGGACGGGCACCAGGACGAACTCGGGGGAGGGCCCCTTCAGCGTTGCAGGACAGTCACGTTTCCTGAGCCATTGTGAAGCAGAGAGCCCTGGGTCCCTGCTCTCCCTGCCCCCTCTCCACGCATGAACCAGCAGGGTTTGGCCGAGAAAGTGGAGGCTGCTCTCAGTCTTCCAAGAAGGCGAAGACCTGACACAGGGCATTAGGGGCTTTCAGAACCGCTGGCAGGATGGGACCAGGAGAGCCCCAGAGGTGGGGGCTGTTAGAGGGGCTCACAGAGTTGGTCTGAGAGCACCTGGCTTTCAGCAAGCTCTGCAGGAGCCTTTTCTGGATCCCTCAGTGCCTAAAGCTGGGGTTCTCTTAGGGCGTTCTGTTCCCATCTCCACGTGATGATTTCAACCTGTGCCCCCACAAATCCATACATTCAAGTTCTGACCCCCAACATCTCCGAGGTGACTAGCCTTCTCCCAGTCTTCCAGCCAGGATCATGGGCGGGTATGCCCGACATGTTCAGATCACCCACCCCATGCTCGAATCCCTGGGCCTGCCCACATGACTCCAATATCACAAACTACGGCTGGGCTGGAGGTTTTCTTAAGATGGGGAATTGGTTGGGACCAGCAAATGGCATAATAATTACATCACTGGACTCCTATGTAGCTGACTGTGGTTCGAGTCCTGGACCTGGTGACTTAAAACTCACACTGGGAATATGTGCATGTATGCCCAACATTCTGAGAGGAGAATGGAGGAGAAGGGATTGCAGTGCGGTCATCTCCCTTCTGTCTCTCTGGTGAGCACACACACCCTATAGCAAAAAATCTATCAAAAAAAAAAAAAAAAAAGGGGGAATTGGCACCAAACCCAAGACCATGAAATAAGCTTCCTTTTGTGCATGTATGCCCAACATTCTGAGAGGAGAATGGAGGAGAAGGGATTGCAGTGCGGTCATCTCCCTTCTGTCTCTCTGGTGAGCACACACACCCTATAGCAAAAAATCTATTAAAAAAAAATATATATGGGGAATTGGCACCAAACCCAAGACCATGAAATAAGCTTCCTTTCCTGCACTGCCCTTCACTGCTTTTGATAACATTTCGGTCAATTCTAAGAACAGGGCCCAAGATCATAGTCCCCAACAGTCCAACTAAGTCCGCAGTGCAGCTCTCCAAAGCAGCTAATGTCCATCCGAAGGGGCAGGTCACCTCCCCTCTCTCTCCCCCACATACAGCTCTTCAGGGGGTCAAAAATAGGGGTGGAAGGAGGACAGCCCATTGTCCACTTCCTGCAGGGGACAGGGACTCACAGTGTCACCCCCTCGATGGCTGGCTCCCTTCCATCTCAGCCACCTGACCCTGCAGAGCTGCCTCCACGCTCTGCTCCCTCTCTCAGGACAGACAAGGCTGAAGAAAGCATCATTAAAATGTGGCAAGGCACCCTGGGAGTCAGCACTTGATTTCTTTTAAGCAAGAGAAGTTTCTCGTAAAAGACTCCAGCTGCTGCTATTTCTAGCAGGCGAGACAGTGAGTCTCCCTGAGCAAACCCGCCTGAGTGGTCCTTTTCAGTGAAATAGATGAAAGGCAAGTGAGGGCCATTCTTCTAGGGGAGAGCCGGCAGGCCTGTTAGCAGACTGCACTTCCCCACCGCCCGCTGAGATTGCCAGGGAGGGGCAGACAGAGCGCATGGCATCAGGGCCAAAAAGCCTTGGGGAATAAAGGACTCTTCGCTCCTGCACAGATTCAAGGCGACTGAAGCATCCCTAGCTGCCAGAACCCCCTACTCCTTGCAGCGTGTCATCACAGACAGGCCAGCCTGTGGGACATGAATGGATGTGTCACAGGGGCTGAGATGCTGGGCCTTTTGGCTGTGGAAGTGGTGACATCCTCCATTTCAAGGGCAAAGCAGAACGTAGGAGCAGCCCCAAGGATGAAT